AAATACCTGACATCACCTGTGCCCGGAAAGGGCCGCTCTCCAGGATTGGTCAGCAGACAGATCGACAGTAAGAGCAGGGCAAGGAGCCAACAGCCAGCACACAGGAAAGGGGGAGGACACAGATCAGTGCTCCTGGCTTAACTCACCTCTACAGCATCAAGACCATATATCACAGCCCAACTCTTTGTCTCAAATATCTCTGCACCCTTTTCTGTCCTCAAAGCTTGGTGTTGTGCCTGCCTCCCCCATCCTGACATCCTTCAGGATAGATGCTCTGCATGAACAAGAGCCCTGAAAATCCAAGATGATTGAATTAGGGACCTTTTTGATCATCTCTGGATCATCCAAAGCCTCTGGGACCAGGAGATGGGAGGTTTTGGGAATGCAGGGCCCTTCATCTCTGGAGAGTAGTAGTACTCGAGGCACACTGGGCACAACGTGGCTGATCCACAGAGAGGAGAAAAGTTTGTGCCTGTTGTCTGAAGCGGAGCAATCAATAATTTGAGCATCACAGGAGCTTTTCCCATGTCTGCTTGGGTCACCAAAGCAAGTTCTGCTCCCTCCAGCCCTTCCAGGAAGAGGCCTGCCCTTTCTTTCTTGCCTCCTCCCCAGACACGGGCACAGAGGAGCTTTCTTTCCCTGTGCCTCAGCTCTCCCGGCACCAGCAGGGAAGGGGTGCTGCTGCTCCCTGCACCCCCTCGCTCTCCCCCTCTCCACATGCTGCCAGCTCCCGCGCAGCGAGTGGGGGCTGCGCTGCCGCTCCCCCCGCAGCTCCCAGCGCTGACGTGGCTCTCCCACCCCCGGCCAGGCCCACGGCATGGAGCGGATGCTGCCATGGACTGCTGGGACAGCCCGATAGGAAGGAATAAAAATGCTCTTCTTGTCTGTAGAGGAGAGCAAGATGCTTCCTCTTGGCCCTGCCAGTGAGACCCAGAAATCCCACTGTGCTCCACAGAGGAGCAACCCAACGTCCTCTTGGGCTGCTCTGAATTCATCTCACCTTGTTGAAAGCAGCTACGAGCTGCACAGATACACCCTGACTATCCACCTATCCAGCACGTTTTACCAGAAGTGCCCCCATTCTCCCTTGGCAAGGCTGGGTAAAGAGCAAGGCTTTATAAACCGGGGACATCTCCCTGCCTCGAGGGAGCCCAGGGGTGACACACGCAGGCCACCACCGCCTGCCTAGCAGCATCTCCGCAGTGCCATAGCAACAGCTGAGAAGTAGGGAGGCCCAGATGGCAAACTCCTCCGTCTGTCCTTCCCCACGCACGGTGCCGGCGCACGCAGGCGCTGCCCACGCTGCCAGCAGGGTGAGTCCCCGGCACCCCGACACGCGGCACCCTCCGGCCAGCCCCGTGTGCCAGCCAGCCCCCCGCAGCGCCAGGGCTGGGGACACGCCGTGACAAACACGCACGCGGGGGCGGAAGGGGTTCTGTGCCACAGGAACCCTGGGATCAAAGTTCTGCCTGTGCTTCTGGTCTTGCGATGGGTAAAGCCCCATGTCTCTGTAAGTCACACCTGGCTGGGGACACAGCAAAGGCCACCCAGCTGCACGGGAAAAGGGATGGCATAGACATGCCCCAACCCCGTGGTGACCTCTCCTGAAATTGGGAGGGGGAAGTACAGAGCATGACTCCAAACTGGAGCCATGTCAGTCGGGTCCAAGCCGGCTCTCTGGCTAGACAGGGCTGCTGGCAGTTCTCAGGGATCTGTGTGCATCTCCAGGGAGGCAACCCAAAATCAGGTAAGTTTCTGGGCGTGCTGGGAAAGGGCAGAGGGACACCAGCCAACCCAACCTCCTCCTCACCCATCTGAGGGCAGGAGCCTCCTGTCTTTTCCCTGCCTCACTACTGACCTGGCACCACCTGGATTTGCAAGGTTGTGTTTTACTGTGCCCTTCAGCCCATCCAGGGCAGGAGCCACCCAGCCCTGACTTTTACCAAAAGGAGGACGTGTGGGAAGCCAGAAGCACCAGCAATTGAAGCAAAAGCTATTCCTTTGAAATGTGCAACAGGAGACTCGATGGTGGGGTACCACACTGAGGTACCCACAGGGCTGGCCTGCCCCACCATCCTCCCTGGGCAGCACTACAGCCTGGTTGTCTCCTGTTTCTCTTCTGCTGTCCTTGCCTCACAGGGCCTCATCAGCCCCTGAGAAGTGATATAACCCAAAGCTCCTGATGGCTTAACCCAGTGCACGGTTGGGGTGGGCTTGGCATGGAGGGGTCTTGCCCTCCCTCAAGGGAGTAACATGGGCAAGCCCTCCAAGATAGCTATATTGGTTTTTTAAACCAGCTTTCTAAATGGGCTCTGGCAATCTCTCATCATCAACACTCAAGCCCTGATTTGGAAGCTGAGCTCTCTCTTTTGGACGTGAATAAGGCTCTGCCTGGTCACAGGGTTGTTTCACCACCCCACACACCATTTGCTTATTCACCAGCTACAAGATGGAGCAGCGACCACCACCTTCCCCGGGGCCTGTGAGGAGGTTCCAGCTGGGGCACTGCATCCCTCAGCCACTGGGACAGGACTGAGCCTCCCCTGCTCACCCCAGCCCCGTGGGAGAAGGTGCTTTTGCCCACTGGCTGCCCACCAGCTGCCTAACGAGGCCAAGTCCCCGTGAGCATGGCAAGCAGGGGGAAAACACTGCTCCTTGCCCAGCTGAATCAGACTCACATGCCAGGAGTGATTCAGCGATGACCAGGCTGGGCTTCTAGGCACCCTCACCCCAACACCCATGATGTCAGGGCTGGCAAGGAGAGGCCTGACATCAGCCTGAAAGGGTGCAGGACCTGATGCCTTCTTCACAAGAGCATGAACGTGGTTCAACTCTGGCTCCCAGCAGTGACCCCTTTGCTGGGAAGCATCCCTGCCACATAAATCAACCCTCTGCTCCCATATCTCCTATAAACCAGCACTGCCTCCCCAGTAAGCACAGACCCTTGTGGAAAGTTTTCATCTGTGCACAGTCTCAGCCCCTGAGAGCATTTTGGGGTTCACCCCAGTCCTGTGCCTCAGCCCTCCCAAGCCCAAAAAGGAAGGCACGGGTCCAGCAGCGATGCAAGGGGTGAAGCAATGTGCTTTGCTCAGTGTGAAGCAGAGAGGCATATGAATTCCAGCAAAAACTGGCACCTTCTTCTCCTTCCCCAGCTTAAGAGAACCTCCTTTCCAAAAAAAAATACCCAATATCTGTTTCTGGAGTTGTCCATTTGGGTTTGGGTTCTTTTTTTTCCCCCACTCCTTTTTACAGACTGCTTATCAGCATTTTTCATTTTCAAAGCAGTAAAGACATTTTCTGGGCACAAAGCACTCGTGTAATACTACCTCTCACAGCAGTTCAGATGTCTGTGCATCTGACAACGCACAGTCGCTCACGCTGGTGGCTTCCAAACCCTTCCCTGCCTTTCCTGCTGCTCCCCGGCCCCCAAAGGGTTAAAACTAAACCACAACAAACAGCGAGCACAGGGAAAAAACACGAGTTCTCCGACTTCCCCAGCATCACCCTCATCCCTCCAGCATCACAGGGAAAACACTCCAGCACCACGACGCAGGATAAATATGGGGCAATTGGAAGGGGAGTGTTGCATTAGCTCCCCCCATCTACTTTCCCCATTCCTGCTGTTGTTATGGAGGTTTTCTGGGGAGGGGAAGGCAGGGCTGTGGATTCAGGGTCAGTGACCTGCTGAAAACCTGCTTGGGCATGGCATGAACCCGTAAGCAAGCGGGGAAAGCAGCTCCCGTCATCTTTACCCAGCAAAGGTGATGAGCAGAGCTGCGAGAGAGGCACTGCAATTACTCCATGGCTCTGCTGCAATTGCACTGTGACCAAATAAAACAGCCTCAGGAAGAGACCCAAAGCCCTCTCCCTCCATGCAACCATGCCATCGAGGTGAAAGAAATTAAATAAATAACCCTCCATTACTCATTTCCAACCTTGCTGCATTTCACTGCCAGAATAAAGGATTCCACCTCTTCTCTGCTCAACTCCCACTGGCAACTTGCTCTGGGGGCTACATTTCCCTAAATGCTCACATTTCAATTAGCATTAGAATAATGAAATGGCTCAGAGTTCATCTCACCCAAAAATGTACTGGAAAATAAAGAGCAGAGATTGGAAGCAATGAGGAATATTTTTTTTTTCACACACACAGAGCATGATGGACTCAGAAGAAGGAAAATATATTCCTTTCTCGACTCCACACTGATGAGATTAACATGGGCTTTGCTAACTGCCTCTCCAAACAAGGATAATGCAACTTCAAGTCGATTTTCCAGATAAACAAGCATGCAAACAAACGCAAAGTGCTCAACTAAAAATATCTCGCTGCTCCGATGCTTCTCCCCACCGCCGCCACCACCCCGAACCTAAAACACACAAATCCTATCGCGGCACCACGACGAGTTGCAAAATTACAACAATGTGAATTAAATAAGCTACTTAAGGAACATCTCACTGTCCTATTTTTTTTTTCCTCCTCTTAAAAATGCAAAACCGCAGATCCCCAGATACACTCATCCAGGGCAGCGAAGGGAGCATTTTCTGATGTGAGGATGTGAAAAATAATGGCATTTTAACTGGATACAAAGTCTCAAGAAAGAAAAAACAGTCCAGAACTTGCTTTTCTTGCCCAGTTTGGGTAAATATGTGGCGGTGTGTGGCTGTGGCGTCCCCGTTCCCCTTGCAGAAGCAAACAGTTAAAGGAAGCAGCAGCTTTAGCATCTTTGCCTGCTGCTCTCTCTTCTGCTAAGGAATCAGATCTCATTTACTTTATTCCTCTTAAGCCTTGGCCAAACTGTTGCTGGGCTTTTTATGGGTTTTTTTTTTGGGGGGAGGGTGGGGGGGGATGGGGTAAGGGAAAAGCCAGATCTGCATCCTCTGCCCGGGGAGTCGGGCTGAGCCCAGCCAGTGCAGCGATGCCGGGGGCACCTGAGCCCCGCACGGGCAGCCCAGCCCGCACCCTGCCGCGGGAGGGGGAGCCCTGGGGGACCCCCACTTACATGGAAGTGATGTTCCTTGAGATGTCCGTGATATTGATGCTCGTGTTGCCATTGCTGCTGCCTGAATCCTGCCCTTCCAAGAGGGGGAAGAGGTTCCCATCATCCGGCTTCTTGCAATTGATGTCTGTCTTGCTGCAAAGACAATTAGCAGGGCAAGCCAGCACCGAAAGCAGATAGTCTCCCCAAATGCTCCAGAGCAAAAAAACCCTCCAGAAAGTGCACTTGGTAGGGCAAAGAGAGACATCCATCTCCGATTGCTGCTTCTAAAAAAGAGGAGGAGGAGGAAAGGGGGGATGGAGGGAGGGGAAGGGGGGGAAAGGGGGAAGGAAACAAAGACAGAGGGAGGGAAAAAAAAGAAAAAAAAACCAAAAAAAAAAACAACAACAACAAAACCTCAAGCGATCAGCTGCAAAAATCCTCCAGCAGATGAAATCATGCTGGCAGCTGGCTGGGAGAGGCTGTAATTCCCGCTAGGGCAGCGGCCGCGGCCGCGGGCGGGGATGGATGCATGCCGGCCCGGCCGCCCGCCGCTCCCGCAGCCGCTCCGGAGGATCGCAACGGGAGGCTGGGGAGGGAGGGATGGGAGGGGAGGAAGGGAGGGAGAGAAGCAGCCGGGGAAATAAATAAATAACAAAAACGGTGCGAAAGTCACCAAGTCCCACCTACTGGGCAGAATTAAAATTGACACACCTGCAAAAAAAACAGACAGAGGGAGAGGAGGGGGCGATCTCCCCTTCCCATCTCTTCCCTCCCCCGGCCTGGCCAGCCCTGCTGCGGCGGGCACAAAAAGCAGGGGAGGAGGAAGAGGAGGAGGAAGGCTTGCAAAGAGAACCGGGCTCCGCAATAAAAAGGATTCCCCACCCCCCCTCCCTCTCCGCTAAAATCAGTGTAGGAGGATGGGGGAGAGAGGGGAAAAACCCCACTGCTGGAGCCCAGCTCAGCCCCGGGAGCGGAGGAAAAGTTGAAGCTGGGGTTAAATTTGTGGTGGGGGAGAGCAGAGGGGCTTTGGCTCGGCTCCTGCTTTCTCAAGCTCTTTTGGAGGACGATGCTGCCTTTGGCTTGGTTGTTGGGTGGGTTTCCCCCCCTCCTCCCCCAACCCGGACATAAGGGTGGAGAGGAAAGAGAGATTAAACTGAACTGGAAGAGAATAAAAGCCAGTGTGGATTACAGAAATTTAAATGGGGGGTTTTTTCTTCTTTGGAGGATCCTAGCGAGAGGCAGCTCAGACGGCTGGGTGTGAAAAAAGCGACTGAAGAGCATCCAGGAAGGACTTTCTAGAAAAGATGCACCCCACCCCCCCCAGCCCCTAAAAAATGCAATGGGGACCAAGCCGGCTGCCGGGAAGTGCAGGCAGGAGCACCCACGGTCGGGGCTCCCGTCCTCCCTCTCCTGGCTTCCCCCTTCCCTCCTGCAGCAGATTCTGCAATCAGACATGCAAAAAAAAAAAAAAAAAAAAAAACCCTAAAAAAAAAAAAAAAAAATCCTGAAAGAGGAAGACTGAAGTGTTGAAAAGGCTGAGCTCAGAGCGCCGAAATGGCATCAGGAGAGCAGTGAGTGCGAGCTGAACAGCAGAGCGAATTAAGATGCATGGTGCATTTTTGGCAAGCACAAACCCAAGCAGATCAGAGCTCTGCTTAATTTGCTCTGCTTTTCCACAGCGCTTTTCTGCATGCCTTTTTTTTTTTTTTTTTCCCCAATAGTTTCATGTCTCTGCTCCTCTGCACAGAGACAGAGCAATAAAGGGATGGTGCTGCAGGCAGGAGCACGGGCAAAGGGAGGAATTACAGGTGTAGGACTCCACATATTTCAAGGGTCTACTTCTGCCAGCAAAGTGCTTTGCACAAGGAGGAGAGACAGCACTGGCTGAGCCAACACCTTCAGACTCCGTTACACACCCAGAACCATCCTGCTCCAGGAGGGGCAGCAGGATTTGGAGGGAAAGAGGGGAAAAACTCCACCACAGTGAGAGGATTTACAGCTGGGATTCATGCACCCATGGCCCCCTGCAGGGAGCCCGTGCCAGTGGGACACGGGCAGGGCTCCTGCTTGGGCAAGTCCTCACCCACTGCTGCCCAGCCGTGTCAGAAGCCCTGGGAGTGGCAGTGATGGGCAAGGGGGTGCTCATTCCAGGGCATCAGTCCTGCTCCCACGGGGTCTTCTGGGGTGCCAGGCAGCTTCACCAGGGCTGCTCCTGCCAGGGCTCCCAGGGGAAGCAGGTGTATTGGGCTAGAGAAGAAATATCGAGGTGGGAGCGCTTTTTTCCCCCTGAGCCCCACCTCTGCTGAATTACCAAAGTGAAACACCTGGAGCAAAAGAGGTCACTGGAATGCCTGGAACTGCAAGAAAGAGGAGCACAGGGGAGAATTTTGTAGATTCCCACTCCCATAAGAAGCATCTCCCATCCAGAACAGCAGAGAGGAAAACACCCAGGCGTATTTTCTACTCCCTGCCTCAGTTTCCCCACCTGCATCAGAGAGATGCCATTCTTGTGGCTCAGCCCTGTGACCAGACTGCAGAAGGCACTGATGGAAGGCACCATGTCACATTCCCCTGCCAGGGGAAACACCAGGAACCCCACAATGCCCAGTCAGCGTGTGGGCTCATCCCCCAGCAGTACCAAGGGTGTCACCCTACCCCCAAAACCAGTGCCCAGGATGACACCAGGGCTTCCTTTAAACTGCAGCTGGTGTGAGGACACAGACTCCTTGTGGCACTTGACACCAATCACCCCATCCCATACAAAACCAGTGTGAGGCCATCAGCATACCCTGGTATGTCACCAGAGGGTAAGTCACAGGTGGGAACACATTCAGGGGACACACACCCACCTTGGGGACCCACTGCAGTCCTGCAACACAGCCAGGCTCTCCTGTGAGCAGATCAGCACTGTCACCTGAAGGAAGTGCTGTCACCTGGAGGTGCCAGGGTGGCACTGCTTGGCCGGGGCTGCACACATGAGCACCCTGTCCCTCTGTCCCCCAGGGTCACCCCTTGGCCAGGAGCAGAGTACAGCTGCTAACAAGGCACAAACACAGTCAGAGAGGTTTTCAGGTCTAGTTACCAGCGTTGCCCTCTGCTTGCAAAGCCAAGGTTTAACCCACAGAACGCTGGGGATGTCTCAGGTGGGCTGTCCTGGGTGTGGGGACACAGGAGCCCACCCACCCCCATGACTTTCCCACCCTGCTCTGCCACCTGGTGTCAGGCAGGCCCTGCTTCAGCAGCTGATGAGAAGGTTTTGTGCCACGCCACATCTTCCTCTGCCACCAAGAGATAAATCTGAGGAAACGTGGCCAGGCAAAGCAAGGGAAAGGGATGAGCAGAGCACCCAGCTGGGTGCCTGAGGGCAGGGGGAAGGTAGGCAGGAGAAAGAAACTGAGGGATTGTTCATTCTTGGGGGATTGGTGGCTTCTCTGGAGGAAGAGAATGCAGTGACAGCAAAGTCCCTGCCACAGAGGGAAGATGAGCCACCACCCTTCACCCAGCACCAGAGCTGGGTGACCCCTGGTCCTGCTTCCCCTGCTCAAAGCCATCACCCCTCACCTGTGCATGGGCAGAGAGGGGTGGGTGCCAGCAAGGGCAGCGCTACCATTTGCACACCCAGACCCAGAAGAGGACAGGGATAGTTGGGAGCTGCCCCTGGTGGGAACACGTCATTCCTGCTTCCAACCCTGCCTCCATCCCTCACGCCTGTCCCTGTGGAAGAGGGAGGCAGGAGCAGGGCATGAGTGATGGGGCTGTCAGAGCACAGAGATGGTATCTCGAGCAGAGGCCTTGCCGTTATTGCTGTGAGGGATGCTGGCAAATTGCTCTTTCAAGAAGCCTCTCCATGAAGAATGAAATCAGTGCTTCCTGTGAGAACTTTGCCCCACGGGGGCTCAGGGGCTGGGTTTCCTCTGGCCCTTGGGAACCTCCGGAAATTTCATGAGATGCAATTGGCCAAAACTAAACCCAAGTTCCTCTGCAGAGAGCTCTGTCCCATCCCAGCTGCCCTCCGCATGGGGACACAAGTTGTTACTGAAACACTCATCCCAGACAAAAGAGCAGGGCTGGGAAATGCCTCCTGACCACAGACAGAGGTGAAGGCAGCTCTTTGGGTTTTGGTTCTACTGTTCCCACCCACAGAGCTGCCTTTAACCTCTCATTCTCAGGCTGGCCATCCCCTGGGGACAACTTTCCCCTTTCCAGCCCGCATCACAGCTAAAGGCTGCCCAATGCCCTGCTGGCCTCCTGAGGCCTGCAAACACCACAGCCCCTGGGGGCAGGACCAGAGAGAGACCCGTGGTCCGATATGTGCTCAGTCATCACAAGCTCCGACGTGCACTCGAGCCTCTGATCTCCGGATCGATCCGGCAGGCCCGCGCCGAGCCTCGCTCCCTCTTACCAGAACACCACTCCCGCTCCCTGAACATGATGAGCTGACATTTTCCTAGCCCCCCTCCCGTCCAGGAGGATCTGCAGAGGTGCCAACAGCAGGACAGCTTTGCACACCTCTGACAGGCAGGGCTGCTCGGCAGGCAGGGTGTGAGCTCTGACAGGAGAGGCAGGGAAAAGGGCTTTGTGCCCTGCCTTGGGAATCCACCTGCAGGTCCAGGTGCCCCTGTGCAGAGAGACCCCAGCAGCTACACGCTGGAGAGGGTCCAGCTTACAGAGTGCTAGTGCCAGCTTTCAGGGAGGGATGTCAGGGTTGGTTTGAGGGCACAGCATCCACCACGGCATCACTGAGATGGGCTGCAGGAGGAAAATATCAGCCCCTGCAGAGCCACGAGGCATTTGCCTCTCACCTGAGCTGTGCAGGAGCACAAGCATCAAAAGTGTTGCTCCCTGAAGCAGAGCTCCTTGTTCCCACCACCCTGGGAAATGGTTGGAAGCCTCTTTTGATCTGATGTCTGCGTTGCTTTGCAGGCGCTGAGCAGGGGGACCCCTGGGCAGCAGGGAAGGTCACATCCTGAACTTGGGTCAGCACGGCCCTGGGAACCCGCAGGAAGGGCAGCAGGAAGGGGGCCAAGGAAAGGTGTGTGGGACAGTCATTTGTGGGCAGTGACAGCTGTGGGATGAAAGGTCTCAGCTCAGGGACATCACTGGAGAGCAGCCTGTGGCAGTGGACTCCAGGCTTGGGTTGACCTTGACCATGCTGGGGACATGTGGGGACAAGGGCAGGACAAAGCCATTCCAGCTGATGTCCTGTCCATAAACTCTACAAGGCTGATTAAAAAGTGTATGGAAAAGCATCTGACTGAGAACTGTTTGCTGAAATTATCAGGAACGAAAAATCAGGAGAAAACATATTCAAGTGA